TTTGTTTTCCCTTCTTAAGGTTTTCTATTCCTATAATACTTGGTGGTGTTTTATTGTTTGCAAATGTATTCAAAGTCCCAAAGAAAGATGCTATAAAAATACCACAAATAATACCAAAGATATCATTCAACATGCAGACCTTTACATTTAAGCAGAATTTATATGTAGTAATCATTTTAATAACTGCTACTTTGTTACAGTGAGTTCCTCTCTGTAATTAATGTTTAGTGAGTTAACAGGCTTGAGGTGAGTTTGGCTTTTTTAGATTCCACATATAAGTGATACCACAGAGTATTTGTCTTTCTCAGTCTGACTTATCTCACTTAGTGTAAGGCCCTCAGGGCCCATCCGTGTTGCAAATAGCAGGATTTCACTCTTTCTCATGGAATATATGTATGTATGTATGTATGTATGTATGTATGTATGTATGTGTGTGTGTGTGTGTGTGTGTGTGTGTGTGTGTGTGTGTGTAATGTTTTTATTTCCTTTGGCTATATACCCAGAAGTGAAATTGTTGGATGAAATGGTAGTTCTATTTTTAATTTTTTCTGTAGTGGCTGTACCATTATACATTCCTACCAGCAATGCATAAGGTTTCTCTTTACTCCACATCTTCAGCAACATGAGTTATCTCTTGTCTTAATGATAAACCATTCTAACAAGTGATACCTTATTGTGGTTTTGATTTGCATTTAAGAAAAGGCAAACTCATAGAAACAGAGTAGAATGCTGGTTACCAGGGGCCAGGGATGGGGGCATGAGTGGGAAAATTAGAGATATCTTAGTCAAAGTTTACAAGCCTGCAGTTAGAAGATGAATAAGTTCTGTAGATCCAATGCACAGCATGGTGATTGCAGTCACTAATACTGCATTATATATTTCAAGGTTCCAAAGAGACTAAATATTAAATGTTCTCTCTCACACACACACACAAAAATAATTGTGTGATTGATGGAGGTGTTAGCTACTGCTAAAGTGGTGATCATATTGCAATATATAAATGTATCAAATTAGTATATTGTACACTTTAAACTTACACAATGTAATATGTCAATGGTGCCAGGTAGATACTTGAAATATTGGGTGGAATCACTTTGTGAAAAATATGGTTGTCTAACCACTATGCTGTATACCTTAAACTAATACAAAATAATATGATGTATACCTTAAACTAATACAAAATAATAATTAATGTAAACTGTAATTGAAAAATAAAATTTAAAAAAGGGACAACACTCAATTTAAAATTATTCTTGGTAATACCCAGAAGCACTTACAGACTTTTAATAAATTAATGATACTGTTTCCAGTGGTATACTAAAGCTGGCTCTAGGTTAGTTTGCTAGAGGCAATTGGTAAATTGTCAGGAATTTTTCAAGCTAGTTATTAAATACAGCCATTATTAAAAATAAATAAATTTATGAAAGTGATGGATAAATATATAATACAGATTAAATTTAAAAGTGTGACTTTCATGTCTATAGCTGTTGTATTGTGGATTTCATGAAAAGTTGAGTAAATATTTTTGAGTTTTAACAATTATAATTTGAACAAGGAAGTAACTCATGTTATTAATGAAAATGTGAACTTTCAATAAACATCTTCATTGTTTCACTTTTGTTTATGTAATAACAAAAATATCACCTAATATTCATGGTAAAATTATATTCATTTGTTAATTACAAACACAGTTGGCTACAATAAAAGGATTTATCAAAAATTAATGAAAGCATTCCCTGAAAATCAACTGGCCATGTGGAATTTACAATAAAGAATAGTTTGTATATTATTATTTGTAAATTGTGTGTTACATATCTTTAATATCAGTAAAATTTCTATATTATGCATGTTTTCTATCATATGTATATTTATATATCATGCCCTTTTTTTTCAAGACAGCCAGTTGTTACATCTACCAGCTTTATCATTTCATTTTATCATTAATTTTCACTAGTGCTTTTCATTTTTTTAATTAATTTTTATTCATTGTGCCTAAAAATGTTAGTCTTTAATATATAGAAGCAGAAGAGTAAATACAAAGTTCATACCATCTAAAAAAGACATAACATCGAAGGGTAATAAGAATCCTGAGTGTTTTGAGATGTGATGTATGAAGTATGGTGATAACAAAAAATGTGGGAAAAGGAATCTATAAAATGACTGTACACAAAGCCAACAGTATTCTCTTTGAGCCTTATGAGTCAAGGGGTTAGGACCGCATATTAGAATTTGACTTCTCAACACCTTTAACTCATAGAAATCCAAAGCAGAATCTTCTTTCACACCTCTATAGGAAAGACTATGGTCTTTCATTATCTCATAGACACATGCTGTGCTTTCCAATCTGTTTCTCTGCTCAAACTCTTTTTTTATAACTTGGGATGTTCCTTCTTTAGAAACTCCTAGTTGAAGAGTCTTATATCCAGAAGACCCCTAGGGCCTTGACCATCAGTTATGAACCCACTAATGTCTGTTCTAAGAAGGCTAAAGTTAGTCTTTTCTTTTTTTTTAAATAAGACTCTTTGTTGTCTGTTCCAATACCCCAAAATGTATATATTATTTATGTATATTGGCCTCACCAGAGACATCCTTGCCCCTTGTCTGAGTAAGGAAGAATATCATTTAGGAAAGAATACAAAAGCATTTTGTAAGCTTGAAATTGTATGTGTACATATATATAATTATATGTAGTTATATTTATTTATTTTTTTAAACATTTTTAAATTGATTTTCAGAGAGGGAGGAAAGGGGAGGGAGAGAGAGAAACATCAATGTGAGAACGAAACATCAATGGGCTGCCTCCTGCATACCTCATACCAGGGATCAAGCCCGCAACCTGGGCATGTGCCCTGAGCAGGAATCAAACCCGCAACATTTTGGTGCGTGGGACTACACCCAACCAACCGAGCCACACCGGCCAGGGCTGTAGTTATATTTATTTATATATGAGTGTTCTGTAGATGGTAAAACTTAAAAATGCAAGCTGTTAATATTATTGCTTTTGGTGTTACTGTCATAATTTTTCAAGATGGCTGGCCTCTTTTCCTTTTTATTCTTACCACCTGTTGTTTTTTACGAGTAACAGAAAGGATTTAATTGCCAGAAATAAACTAGGGAAGTTAGGAATGCTGAAAAATTAATTGCAGAGCTAACATTATAGATAGTCATTAAATTCAAGAAAGGCCTTTAATGGCTGTCTGATTTTAATCAGTTAGGTTTTTGCACAAGGGAGTGTTTGAGGATAATACTGAGGAAAAATTGTTCTGGCTGAACTATGTAGCATGGATTGGACAGAAAGCCAGAAGGCCATAGGCTAGAGCTCTTGAATAATTAATTATGATAATAATAATAGCAAAGATGAGCAGCAAAGGAGTAGAAGGAAGAGAAGGAGGGGAAGAGCAGCTGCAGCTAATACTTATTAAGCACTATATGTAAAAAATAAAGGTGATTATCTCAGGTAATATTTACCAAAAAAATTTAGCATTGTTATTTTTTCCATTTTGCAGATAAAACAACCAAAACTCCGAGCCATTAAGTAATGTGAGCAAGGTCACAATTAGTATGTTTTATCTGGAATTTAAACCCAAGGAATCTGACTCTAGAGCTTAAATTCTAAACCACTCTGTTGAATAATTTAGACAAGTGATTTCTTTGAGGCTGTCAATATACCCAACTATGGGAATATATTTCTAATAGCCTTGAATTAAAAACAAATAAGAAACAATCTACAACCACCAGAGGTATGTGTGGATGAATTCACGTGATGGCCCAAGGTAAGATTAATTCAAACAGCATTTTGACAGAATTTCACTTAAGAACACTAAATTTGATGACAGTTTACAATTGCAAATGTATTTGTCTTTTCCTATTGGGGACTATTATACACACTAAAAATTATGCTGTAACATTAGGTTGAAGGTGATTAAAACCAGAAAATAAGGGAATCCTCAAGAATCTCAGAACTAAGGACATAACTCAGAACTATCGATCCTCAAAAGTAATTAAACAGAGATACTCTTTACAAACAATCTAGGCTAGGTTCAAGATATTGATCTTATTCACTCATACAAAGGATCATCAGATTTTCTAATTAATCATTTACATGTCCAATTTAATCCCACCAAGGATGATAATGACATGTTTTTTTAAATCCATAAATTATGAACTATACATAAACAGTCTGTACTAAGTTGACCGCCTACAAGAAAATTTACCAATGAATCTCTAAGTGTCCTTTCCATACCTGCAGTGCCTTAACCATATATACAATATTTTTTTCTGTTAACTTATGTGACTAAAATGGATAAATCATTATCTCTTTGATGAAATATATCCATGCTTTAATAGTCCCTCTGTGTATTCACTTGCAAACTCTTCTCACCTGCACTTCTTTGGTATAATAGTAAATTAATTATGAGAAGTTCACTGGTAAACAGATGTATCCCCTACAAAGACATGGAATTCCCACTATTTAGAAACTCTTACACACTATCAAAAACACTAACTTATAATTGTCCAGCAATAATTTGGACAAAATTATACACTATATCTTACACACAAACACACACACACTATACCACACTTCACACCACACACACAGTTGAAACACTAGAGAAAAGAAGGGAGATGACAAGTTATCCAACTACCATGACACTGAAAAGCTCAGAGTCAAACAAATCAGGTGCTATAACTTTTACTGAAACAGAATTAAATAGTACCCATGCAAAGTGAACCAATTAGTCATCCATATATTTCTAGCTGGATATTTGCTTTACTGAAGAGAAAAGATCCCATTTGACTCACTTCCCCACCCCCCATATTATAGGCAGCTTTTAATAGTAGCAATTCCAAAGCAATTTAGTAATTATATTTTGAACCATAAAATTAAATAAGCTGAATATATCAGTCTCATCATACTTAGGTCCTTAGCGTTATATCAAAATACTTTTTACTTAATTATCTTTGATATATATTTTTTGTTGTTAGTATTTTTTTCTCACCTGATCCTCATGCATAGCTTGCTCTTCAACTTTGGCCTAAGGGGAAAAAATCAAAATAAGTTATGAAGAAACAATAGTCAATAAAGAGGAAATTGGATTTTAAACAAGAAGTTAAGCTGTTATAAAAGCAAAGATAGGATGAAATAGGTGGGTAAATTTTGCACAGTTTCAATTACATTTTTGTGGCAATTAGGTTTAAATGCAGTAAATCATATTATTTTAGTGCAGTTATTTAATCATCTACAAATTGATGACCTCTAACCAACATTTCTACATTTTATAAAATATTTATGCTTGGAGAAAGTTTGGAAAGCAGCTCTTTAAGGTAAAAAAAAAAAAAAAAGTACCTCTTAAGCTTCTGGCATCTCCTCATTCAAAATTACTAATCCTCCTTCTGAAATATATACATACATACATATATATGTATGTATGTATATATATATTTTAACTTCCACTCCCATACCCTGAGATAAAATTCACCTGAGTCTGGAGACTTGCACTCTTGGCAATTTCATATCTCAGGAAAAAAAAACATGATAAGAACAGTTTTTCTGGTCCAAATCTTGACTAAAAAAGAAGTCATAGAAGCCTTGGGAAAGAGTGACCATGTCATCTTATAGTTAGTAAGTAGTAAAGAAGGAAGGGAATGGTAGGCATAGTCAGACACATGTCTTGCTATTAATAGAATGACATTTCCAGCAGCTGTCCAAATAGTTCAAGTCCCCCATCACAACTGTAAATTACTTCAGTGTCAATATAAAAATCAACCAGCTACCAATTCTGGAATTTTAATAACTGTGAATGAACTTGAGGAACTTCCTGGTCTGCAGGCTATGTAAGTAATAAATCACCTAGTGAGATAGCAACATAATTTTCTTAATTTCTGGCTTACCATGCAATCTTCCACTGTTGAATCAGATATCTAGTCAAACAGTTGGCCAGACATTAATATTTGTATTACACACATCTTTAGTTCTTATATTTAACTTTAATTTCTATTAATAAGACTACAAAAATGAGACTGTAGAAGAATCACCAAAAAGATAGTGTTATTTGGATTGCATGGTTTTATAATTATTTAAGGTTTTTTTCTCATGGAATGCTGAATAAGACAGGAAGATGATTTATTTGCAAACAGATTCCGACAGTAAGGCACAACAAGAATTGTAAAAGTTAACATATGAAAATGGGTTGCATAGGTTCCCTTCACAATACAGAGGCAAACATTAAGCTCTGGATAAAAAGGTTTAAGTATTTGAACACTGAGTTTAGATCAACTTCAATATAATTATAACATAAAGAATGAAATTAAGATAAAAAATGATAATGTTTTAGAACATACAATTAGTTATCCATAATTATGGTTTTACAGAAGCCAGAAGAAGACTATGTCCAATTTAAATTCATAAGCAGTCCCTAATTATAAAACTTGTCTTTCCTATTATTATGCTGTGACACATTTATTTAGATATCTAGCTATTTCTCTTTTCCAATACACTTAAAGATCTTTCATTATAATGCAAGTTTCTCAAATTTGCCATCCATTAATACATTGCTATTATGTTCTTAGTAAATAAATCCACTGAGGAATTTTTTTCTCTTCAACCAGTTTAGAGCTATTGAAACTTAACTTTATTGTACTAAGAAAGAAGATGGAATAAAGGGCATTTTAATGAAAAATCTGCACATTTGAGAAAGTTTTGTGTTTCTTGAATGGGAGATGAAGATTTTAAAATTTTGTTCTTAATCTCCAAAGTTCATTGAAAAAAAATTAACTTGAATGAGTTAAGTTTTGAAGCCAAGAAATCAGTTACGATCTTTCCTTCCAACTACTGAACAGCAAACCATCTGCTTTGCCACCATTTAAATCACATTCCGTTCTTCTAAAGTGGTTACAACTTATAACCATTTGTTATAGCAACGTGGGACTAAGGGGCAACTGGATATATTTTTAAAAGAGCTGCACAGTAATCTCTGTATTTCAGAGTTGAAGGAGGGAACAATAGCTTCAGTATCTGAAAACATTGCTTGTCAGTCTGATTCCACTGCAATTTTTTAGTGTACTTTAAAAATTAATCCCACCATGAAAATAAAGATAGACATTTTAATATAATTTTACTCAATATTTCAAGAGGAGTCACATAGGAAAATGAACTTCCACAATGTCTAGTGTTCTATTCCAGACTTTAAAAGATATGGGATTTTGCACAAAACTGAGTGATAGTGGCATGAGGAAAGCAATAAAGTGTTTTCTTTTATCATTTTCTGAATTTTTCATAAAGAAAATAATCCATAAAATAAAATACTAACCCCCCACTTGATGGCATTTTCTGTACTGAAAAGTTGGAGACAGGAAGACACAATTTAAGTTTCTTATTATAGAATGATGGCTTCTGCCCCAGATTTACCCATGAGCTAGTTTTGAGGACAAACTTAGAAAACAAGACAGACATACATTAATTTTCCATACAATATATGGAAAAACTTCTTTAGATTACAATATGGGCTTTTTGAAAATATGACTGTCACTCTTCTTCCTTTTTTTCTATTTTTGCAAAAATTATATTCAATTGATTATTTCCCAACTACTATTTATATAAATGATCAATTATAAATCCTTGAAAAGACTCTCCAAACTCTCTAAATGGCACTGACAGTAGTTATGGAGCTCTGTGATACAAAGAGAACATATTGGAGAGTTGTAGTTTAATTAATTTAAATTATTTCATTCTAGAAAAAGAAACTTCCATACTCCTCTGAGAGCTAAATTTCTACTTCTAATGATATTACCTTATCATACTTGTCAGTAATTATTTTCACATAACTTAAACTTTAATTATATAAAACATTTTACCTTGCCCACAGTGCCCATATCTTCCCTAACTAGTAGTGATTTCTTGGCTCTTCTTATAGCCTCTAGATCTTTCTCATTCATTCTGTCCTCACCCATCTTTATCCTTTCTATGTTTCCTGCTTTGATTGGGTGGTGAAAATACTGAGCCAGAAGACCTGCATTCTAGACCCATTGCCATTATTTATTAATCAAACAATCATGGATTAACACAATTAAACTCTATAACATTCTGTTCCTTCATTTATAAAATGAGCATCGTATCATCTATCCCTGATATTCTTTTCTTATTTTTACTGCATCATTTTTTAATTTGTATATATGAGTGTATTTTAGAATGTCTGATGTTGTTTTCTTATCTCTCCAAGTTGTTAAAATCAGACAAGAATATGAGATAGTATTTCATAAATTATTCCTTGCTACATAAAATCAAGTGGTATTATTATTATTTCAAAAGCTATAACTTGAACTTTCTGATATTCTCCAACAACACATGCGAAGGTTTCCATTATGGTGTTAGTCTTCAAAATGATGTCTCTCAACCTGATGTCCCACCTTCTATCACACATAAATCATATTTGCAATCTATAAAATTGTGATACAGCATGTGCTGAAAAGAATGATTATTTTGTACCATTATTTCTTCTTGTTTCACGCCACAAGACTGGGAGACAGTAAATATATCTATTATACAGATACAAACACTAAGAGCCACTAAAATGGGGAGACAAAGAAACAACCACCAAACTAAAGAAAAGGAAAAATTGCCAGAAAAAGACCTTGATGAAATGGAGTTAAAGCAAGTTATCAGAAATAGAGTGCAGAGTAATGGTTATAAAAATGCTCAAGAAAATTAATGAGAACAAAAACACACATAATGGAAAGGTCTAGGAACTTAGTGAAAACATGAAAAAAGTGCTAGATATCATAAGAAGCAGGTAGAAATGAAGAATACTATATCTTACATCAAGAAAATGTTGGAAGAAATTAAAAGCAGACTCAATGAAGCAGAGGGTAGAATAAGTGACCTAGAAGATAAGGTAGAAAAAAACACTCAATCAGAAAAATAAAAAGAAAAAACACTTAAAAAGCATGAGGGCAGACTAAGGGAGCTTTGGGACAATATGAAGCGAAAGAACATTTGCATCTTATGGGTGTTAGAGGGGGAGGAAAGTCAGCAAGGGATAGAGAATTTGGTGGAGGAAACAATCAAAGAAAACTTCCCTACACTGGGTAACGGAGAAAGCCACACAAGTTCAGGAAGCACAGAGGGTTCCAAGCAAGAGGAACCATGAGATCCACTCTGAGACACATCATAAATAAAATGGCAAATGTTAAGAACAAAGAGAGAATATTAAGGGCTGAAGACAGAAACAGGCAATGACCTACAAGGGAACCCCCATAAGTCTGACAGAAGATGTCTCAACAGAAACACTTCAGGCCAGAAGGGAGTGGCATGAAGTTCTCAAAGTAACGAAAAGCAAGAAACTATAACCAAGACTGCTTTATTCAGCAAGGCTATCATTTAAAATTGAAGGTGAAATAAAGAGCTTCCCAGACAAAAGAACCACCAAACCAGCATTGCAAAAAATGCTAAAAGGACTGCTTTAAGAAGAAGAAGGAATATTGAGAGAAAGGTACATTGGCATAAAGGGGAAAACTGGTTTTAAATAAGTTATATCAATAGTAACCTTAAATGTAAACAGAATAAATGCTCCAATCAAAACACCTAGGGTAGCTGAATGGATAAGAAAACATGACCCAAATATATGCTGTCTACAGAGACCCACCTGAGAGCAAAAGATTTACACAGGCTGAAAGTGAAGGGATGGAAAAAAATATTCTATGCAAATGGAAACAAACAAACAAATAAAGCTGGAGTAGTGATAGTTATTTCTGACAAAATAGACTTCAAAATAAAGACCATCTAAAGGGATCAATCCAACAGGAGGAAATAACCCTTATCTACATTTTTAATTGTATCTTCTTTTATGGTATATTAAAAATCTGTATGCATGTTGTCCATGTATCCACGTTCCAGTTGACAATAAATTATGATGAATTTATATTAAATATATTCCAAGGACAATAATTATATTCCATGATTGTTTATGCTGCCTCTCATTTTTCAAGTCTCATCCCTCCATGAAAAAACAAAAGTAAAACAAATATACTCTCTTTTTTTGAGCTCCATAGATAGCTTTTATTTGCTTTTATTTAACGAATAGTCTTTTAATGATATATATAACACTGTGGTATTTAACAAATACATTTGAAATAATGTGTTAATTCTTTTTGGGAAACTTTGGATATAAGGATGACAAGTTAATTTTCTTGTACAGTCAGTAATACAAGTAGCGGTCATAAAGTAACTTTTTCCCTAAGAAATTATTTGTTATTTAGAGCCTGTCCCCTGACCACTTTTTCTGTTTGATTATTTTCTGCTCAAATTCTCTTGAGCATTTTTCTTCTAATGGAGTTATTATTGTTCTATCTTGGAAGCCCCAAATATCCAGGTAAGATATGATATATGATATTATACTTGACTAAATTTTAGAATTTGATTCAGAAATAGCCTTACCAAAAGTAACTGCTCAACTAGTTTTATAAAAACTCATCTCTCCCAATGTCTGCCCAATAAATTTAATAATAAATAAATAAAATTAAAAACTCACCTCTTTATGACCTCTAGGAACATGTGCAATATTTTAGTTTAATTTGCCAAAATATTATTACAACTCATGCCTTAGGGTCCATATAGACTTACATAATGCCATACTTCATTGATTGGAGGAGGGGGATATTTTTGTATTTTAAAATCTCTAAATTCAGAATTTAATTGCTTATCCATGTGGGAAGAAACTATTGGACTAGCTTAAATTGTAGGATTCTTTCCTTTCATAGTGGTAAATGAAATAATGGCACACCTCAAGAGTACAATCTTATATTCAATAACTAGCAAACACCATGACAATCCTTGCATACTACCTGAACAAATATGGTGTTTGCTAGTTAATAGTCTCAGTGGATTATCTCTCTTAATGGGACACAAAGTGTAATGGAATATACATACAGTCTTACTCTTGTAAAGACTAACTAGAATATGAAGAAGAAGATACACAGAGACTTTATATCTGTAACACTCTCAACAATAAAAAAAATTATACAAAAAAAGAAAAAGTAGTATGCAGTGTTCATATAAACAAAGTAGAAGGACAAAATTCATCCAAGAGATATGACATATAGGAATATTTTAAAACCTACTAGAAAAAGTGATTTTGGCCCTGGTTGGGTCACTCTGTTGGTTAGAACATCATCATAATAATCCAAGGTTGTGGGTTTGATCCTCAGTCAGGGCACATACAAGAATCAACCAATTAATGCATAAATGGGTGAAACAACAAATTGATGTTTCTCTCTCTCCCTTCCTCTCTCTAAACTCAATAAATAAAAAATTTTAAAAATAAAGTGTTTTTAAGCTTGTCAAATGAAAATGTGGGAAATGAAATTCATAAGACAAAATTAGACATGACATTATTTGAATTACTCAAGTAATTAATGGTCCTCAATAAATATTTTTTGAATGGGTTTTAGTACGATCACAAACCTGACATAATAAAAACCTCCAAGCTTTCTTTATCTTGGTTAAATAGTTCTAGGTTAGCCTTTTGTACTTGTTACTGAGTTTTGGGTAGACTTTACTATTATAGAAATGGCAACATTATTTCTAGTTTCAAAGATATCTGTCTTGGATATCGTGTCTGGCCTTGATAACCATCATTTTTGATTGATTTATTGATTGCTTTACTTTTTACATGATCAGTAACATAGTCATTTATTATCATTATCAAGTATTTTATACTGTACATAATTATATGTGCTATACTTTTTTACGACTGGCAGCTCAGTGAGTTGTCTACACCACAGCACCACAAACATGTGAGTAATGCATTGCTTTATGACCTTAGGATGGCTATGGCATCATTAGGCAATAGGAATATTTCAGCAGCATCATAATCTTATGGGACCAGTGTCATATATGTGGCCCATCATTGACTGAAGTGCCATTATGTGGTGTATGACTGTAATGTCATTTTTGAGTCAAACTATCACTTTTAATAATTTCACCATGTAATTAGGAAAAAAATAACTCACAGAATAGTATATTAATCTAGTTTGTAGTCCAAACCAGCTCTGAATTTGGCATATTTCATTTATATTAAAATCAATAATCAATATATCATAATGTAGATTTAGTTGTCTTCTCTATTACATTTGTCTATTAGAATAGAAAAATTGCACACCTACTTTCATGCATTTTTTTTTCTTTTACTTTGGCTGTGGAGTAATGTGGTGTTTTGTGGATGTGTGGGTGATGATTTGCTTTAAGCTATTTAAAGGAAACATAGAGGAATGGGCAAATAGATATAGGTATAGGTATACCTACATACATTAAATACCCATGGTCAATAGATAGTATTAAGTAGCCTAATTATGTTCCTTACTTCAGAATTAGAACACTACTGAGGAAACTACAGAAATTCTTTTACCACTTTCTGTGGAATCAAAACTTAAAAAAAATTCCAGTAATGGAAGGTTCCTTAATGCCTACCTAAGTCCAACATCTCACCAACTGCACAAATTCATGCAAAGCTATCTCCAACAACTCCATCTGATTTTAGGGACAATAAACTTACTATTTCCCAAGGGAACATACTACTATTAGAATTTTATTTCTTAAATTGAGCAAAATATGCTTTCTCATAAAATTCCTGCTATCATTTCAATTACGCTTTTTTCCATTTATAAATCATCTTTATTTTTTAATTACAGTTGTCATACATTATTATATTAGTTTGAGGTGTACACCCCAGTGATTATACATTACATAACTTAGTAAGTGATCATTGGGATAAATCTCACACTCATCTGACACTATACACAGTTATTAGAATATTATTGACTATGTTCCCTATGCTGTACTTTACATCCCCATAACTATTCTGTAACAAACAATTTGTACTTCTTAATCCCTTGATTGATTTTGAGCCTCAGTAGATATAGCAGTCCTCTCAATCCTTTGATCTTGTAAGAATTTG